TATGCTTTGTTGTTCGACAAGAGAGAACGAACTAAGGATATTGATTTGTTGAAGAGAAAGAAGAAGAAGTGAGAGAAACAGAGAATTTTGATTTCTCGATCAAAAGGAAAAAGAGACGAGAAGAGAGGGTTGAGAAGCTTTGAGTTGTTTAACAAAAAAGAAGAAGCTTTGAGTTGAGAAGAAGAGTTGTTTAATTAAGAGAAAAGGAAATTGATAAAATCACAACGGTTATATTAATATGAGTTTAAGCAAATCTATACCTAGATTTTGTTTCTGTTAAATTTTCTTCATCACACACAACGGTAACAACTTAATTTTGATATGTAAAAACATTTTGAACCTTGTAATTTTAAAAGAGAACTAGATTTGGATCCGCACATACGTGCGGGATATATTTGTGAATATAATTATTTGATATAATCTTTATAACTCATATTTACAACGATTTGGTTTCATCAAACTTCGGAACATTTGTAATAATAATGGTTTCATCATAATATTTGGATTGATACGAAGACAGATCCAGATATTAAACTAATGTAATCACTTATATTTTTAGCAAGCTATTAAACTATTAAATCAGATAAATGTCAAAATATCAAACTTGCCAAACCGAATTACCTAAATTGTCAAGGTGGACGTATTTGATGTTTTTACCAGTAAAAAGTCTACCCCATGAAAGCCACATGAGCAACATTTACATTCTTCTCGTTTGAATTTGCAAAAATTCGTAGTTAGCATACATTTTGCTAAATTTTCTAATTTAGACATAATACTCATATCTTACGTTTGGATATTCTCAAACTCTCTTAAACTTTAAAATTATCATCTAAAGTAGATATTTACCCGTTCAAAAGTTAGCGCATATTCAAATTAAGTTCTGAGATTCGAATATAGATAAAAAAAACTATTTAGATTGTTATACAAAATTTATCTCTCATACATCTTATCATGAATAGTTTGGAAATATTTTTCCGTTCCCATTTCATATTCACTGTTTCCCGTTCAGATATTGGCAAGGTAATGTTCGTAATGTTTCACACTCTACGTACCTTCAGAGTTATATTTTTAGATATAATTATTTGATATATCTGTTATCTATATTAACATTTTAAAGCAGTTTTTGCAATAAATCCTAAATTTTCAAACTATTTACAAAAATGCCACTGCATTACAGTATCTTTAAAAATAAATGGAAAATAATAAAAATGGAAATACATCAATATTTAGAAGATTAAAATTATAGTTCTCCTATCATATTTTTTGATTTGATTTTTTAATTTTTTTTTGAATCATTATATAACACATAAGATTAATAAAATCTAATTTTGTTTTTCTATATATTTTGTGATTCGAATTTTAAAAAAACGGATATATATATATATATATATATATATCACTCAATTAATATAAAAAGTATGTGTTCAACATCTTAAATCCGCTAAAATATTAGAGAATGATTCAAAATCATATTATACATATGATCATAATAGATTTAAATCTGAATGAGCAGAAAGTTTCACTTAATAAGCATCCAAACTTTAAAATTTGTATATCAATTCATTCGATTTAGGTGAATTGGGTAATGTTTAAAATATGTTTCTTTTGAAAATATAATTTGTTTAAAATATGTTTCCTTTGATTGATTTCACTTAATAAGCATCCAAACTATAAAATATGTTTACAAATACACAATTTCTAATTTAATAGGCCTCATTTTATGGTAACAAATTTATTATGATTTCCATGAATCTGTGTTAGTTATTAGATTTGATTTTTTTAAAATATTTTAAAGCATATTTATTTGAGAAATTGATACAAATAACCTTTTTATGATACCCTCTTTTAAAAATATCCTCTTTTTTTACCATTTTCATTTTTGCCCTCTCTTATATTTTAATGGCCATTTTACCCCTATTTGAAAGAATATTCTTTCCCAAAGGAAGGAATATTCCATCCAAAAATTTTCCCCCCAAATATTTCCCGCCAAAAACTTTCCCGCCAAAATTTTCCCGCCAAAAAAGTTTCCGAGAAAAATTTTCCCGCCAAAAAAATTTCCGCAAAAAATTTCCCGCAAAAAAAAATATTTTTTCAAAATTTTCCCGCCAAATTTTTTAAAGGGTTTACAAGATTTTTTAAAGGGTCTTTTAAAGGGTTTACAAGGGTTTTTAAAGGGATTCACAAGAGTTTTTAAATGGTTTTTAAAAGATTTGTAATGGTTTTTAAAGGGTTTTAGAAGCCTACAAAGGTTTTCAAATGGTTTTTAAATGATTTACAATGGTTTATAAAAGTTTTTATTAGTTTATAACAGTTTTAAAAGGATTTACAAGGATTTTAAAAGGTTTTTAAAAATTTACAAGGATTTTTAAAGGTTTTTTAAAAGGATTTAAAAGTGTTTTTAAAAGAATTTAAAAGTGTATTTAAAGGCATACAAAGATTTAAAAATAGCTTCAAAGGATTTACAAGAAGTTTTAAAGGGTTTTAGAAGTTTACAAAGGTTTTTGAAGGGTTTACAAAAGTTTTTAAAGGTATTACAAGTTCTTTAAAATGGGTTTTAAGGATTTACAAGGGTTTTTAACGGGTTTTAGAAGTTTACAAAAGTTTTTATTAAATGATTTATCACGGTTATAAGTGGTTTAAAGGGATTTACAAGTGTTTATAAATGTTATAAAATGATTTACAATGGTTTTAAAAGGTTTACTCAAGTTTTGAAAGGTTTTGGATTACTTTTAAAAGATTTACAACGGTTTTTAAAGGATTTTTTAAGGGATTTATAAATATTTACAAGGTTTTTTTAAGAAATTGCGGAAAAATTTTGGCTGAAAATTTTTGGCGGGAAAATTTTTGTCGGAATTTTTTTTGGCGGGAATTTTTTTTTGGCGGGAAAATTTTTTGTCGAAATTTTTTGACGGGAAATTTTTTTCCGAAAATTTTTGGCGGGAAAATTTGGCGGGAAATTTTCCGGAAGGAATATTCTTTTTGTTGGAATAATATTCATTTTTTCATCATGGGTTATAATAAAAGAGGGTATTTTGAAAATGAGCACCTAGAGAGGGTACTTGTAGAAAATGGTATCATAATAAAGGTTAGTTGTAAAAATCTCCCTTGATTAATTTCACTTAATAAGCATCCAAACTATAAAATATGTTTACAAATACACAATTTCTAATTAAACATGCCTCATTTTATGGTAACAGATTTATTATGATTTCCATGAATCTGAGTTAGTTATTAGTTTTGATTTTTTTATTTTATTTTAAAGCATGTTTATTTTAATTGAAAATATATTTTGCTGTCTTCAAGATATTTGAAAATTTTAATTTATAATTTAATAATGCTTAAACTTAAAAGAATTTAATTGAGTATAAATATTTATAATATTTTCAACTTTACATGTAGTTGATATTTTACAACTTTACATATAATATTTTAAAACCTTTTAACAGAGTAAATATTAATAATACCTAAACTTTTATAGAATTTAAATATTTATAGTATTATTATCTTTCCTTGGACCTAATTTATTTTAAACGTTTATTTACCTAATTTAAACTGTTTACATATATACAATTTAAAATACTATACATATCAGTTTATTTTAAAAGTTTCGAAATTTTTTAAATTAAAATGTTTTGAATTGTATTAGTTTAAATTAGTTAAAATAAACGTTTAAAATATGTTTTCTATAATACAGTTCTAGTAACAGTTACATTCTCCATCCGCTTCACAGTTGAGACATATATCAAAGATGGAAGAAAACCATGATATGCTGGCTCTGTCTCTAAGTGTAACACCAGTCAATAGAACCGTCTCACAGAAACCCCCGATGATGCCTCTAGGCTTGGTTTCTCCATATCATCAACAAGCACTTAACATCAACCATATGTTACAGAACCAGGTGACAAGAGATTTGTGTACTCAGTTACGTAATGTGGAGGAAAGAGCTGTCTATTTCATGAAAGTAAAGGACAAAACCATCGAAGATATGAAGAAACAGTCTGGAGAAATGGAACTTCGCCTGAGAAAAGCATTGTCGGAAGCCGAGTTCTGGAAGAAGCAGTCGGCTGAGAAAACAGAACTGTGCAGAGATCTTGCCGGGAAGCTATTGCAAGTGAGAAAGAGAGAAAAGTCGAAGAAAGTTATTCCGGAGCAGAACGAGGCGGAAGAGGCTGAGTCGTCCACTGGTGATAATGGAGAGGATGATTTAAACACAGCAAGTATTCGTTTATGCAAACGTCGCCGTCTTTGAAATTGGCGCGGGGTTTTAAGGCACGAATGTTTTTGTTTGTATGGACATGGACGTGTGGTCAAATGTTCCCACTTCCTATAGTTGTTATATATATTCGATGTTGTATGGGGAGGGAACCTTGAACATGATTGTAATCATTCTAAATATAAAACATGTCTAATTTCTGTTACATATTATTTTGTAAAACGCATAACTTTGAATTATAGTTATATGATATTGCCTTTGTGAAGAAAAAAAAAAAAAACGTTTAAAATATTATATAATCTTAAAATTTTCGAATTTAATAGGCCACATTTTATGGTAACAAATTTATTATGATTTCTATGAATATTGGTTAGTTATTAGTTAGACTTTTTATTTATTGTAAAGCATATTTTTTCATTTGAAAATCTGTCATTAATTTTGTTTGGATATAGGTTTAGGATTACATTTTATTTCATTTTACTATTTAATCTGTTTGGATACACTTTTAAAAAATGCTTCCCTTTAAATAGTATAGATTTACTGAAAAAGATATGACCGTAATTTGTAAACCGTCAGCTATACTATTAATTCATTGAAAAATACTATAACTACTAGATTTTAACCCGCGTGACGACGTTTTAAAATGTATTCTTTTTATTAATTTTGTGAGTATATAAGAGTGTACTACTATATTTTGATTGTTAATTCTATGATTTAACCCGTAGAATATTATATGATAATTTATTTTTTATATAATAGTAATTTTATCAAATTAATTAAATAAGTATAATATTTAAAGTAATCAAATGATATTGACATAATATTCGTTTACATAGTATAATTTCATATTAAAATATTTTGTGAGTTATACTATAGTAGACAACCCGTAAAAATATCTATAATCATAATTATGTAAATTATAACTCGTTCCATCACATGATCCGTGCTTCACAATTATCAATATTACTTTAGTACATCCATATTTTTGTATCGTTTGAGTAATACATCCGTATCTAAAAATTCAAATTGCAACATATGCAAAAAATGTTTTTTTATATTTTTACTATACATATGTTTATGTAATAATATAAACTTAAAAACAAATAAGGTCATATAAAGATATTGGAGAAATATTTGATTTATTAGGGAGAGATTTTAGGAAACTTTGTTAAATGTAGTAAAAATTGATTTCTAATTTTGCAATTTTATTATGATTTAATTACAAAATTTATCTTAAAATTTTACTATTTAATCAAATGGGAAGGGTTTAATTATGAAAATATAACAAAATAAAAGGGTAGAACACAAAAGGTACTTCAAAAATGTTAATATAGATTTTATTGACCTATTCTTGAGGAGTTATTTTATAATTTTTCTATGAAAAAATGTAAATTATCATATAAATTAATAATGATATTGGGATCAAGAAATTCTATGAATTTATAGAGGTATTAATAAAAATAATTTCCTAATTTGGTAATTTTTTTTAAAATAGATACATCAAAACTAAGATTTAGTCATTATAATCAATAATTTTTTAGAACCAAATACACCAAAAACAATAAATCATCATGAATGAATAAAACACTATGATTTTTTTGATACATGAAATCTATTAGAATTGGATTCTAAGAAAAATTAATATAAATTTGAGAAAATATTTACAAAAGATTTTCAAAAATATTATTATCTTATTATTTTATCGGAATGTGTTTAAAATTACAATGGTCCCAACTTGGGACCGAGAAAATTTATTAAATTATAAAATTTATTAATTTATCGAGTATTAATTTATCGAGTATTAATTTATAGAGGTTTTAATGTAATTAGTTTTTCCATTATGCTTAAAATAATGGAACGAAAATATTGTGGCTTTTTAGACTTATTTTGCATATTTTATACCAAATTGAAGTATCGAGACCGGCAGAGAAGTTGTACAAAGAGTGGTGAATGGCACGGAGTTATCAGCGTACCAGGTATGCTGATATTTGTAAGTTTTTATTTAATCTAAATATTTAATTCGATTTATAGAGAATTTTTGAGAAATACCCCTTTTCGTGTACCTCTTTTTAAAAATACTCCCTTTATCTATCCATTTTCAAAAATACCCCTTTTTAAATATAAAAAAATTATAAAGTTTTATATAGTTTATAAGGTACTTCTATATAATAACTACTACTGGGAGATTCGATACAAATGTTTTAAAATGTTCTAAATAGTTTTAAATCGTTTTTATAAGTTTTATAAGGTTTTTAAAAGGTTTTTAAAAGGGTTTATACGGTTTTATAAGGTTTTTATAAGGTTTTTATAATTTATTTTTACGCTATTTATGAAAGGTATATAAAGTTTTATATACATATAAAGGTAATTTGTGTATATATTTATAAGCTTACACACATATTTGGATAAATTTCAACATTTTTATTGAGTTTTTTGATAAAGTTTGAAAAAGGGGTATTTTTTAAAAGAGGTATATGAAAAGGGGTATTTTTGAAATTACCCCTTATATTATTTGATATTTGAAATTTTTAATTTATATAAATATTCAAGTTTTTGTAAAGTATAATGAAATTTTAATTATTATAAAATTTATTTTACCAAAATATCGAGAATTGATGGACACGAAAAAAAAACAGGGTATTCAACTATTCATATAAAAAAAATATAGAAAAAAGGTTCTTCGGGTAATTTATTATATAAACAAGTTTTATATAATAAGTTTCTTCATTACGCTTAAAATAATGGAACGAAAATAGTGTCGCTTTGTAGACTTATTTTGCATATTTTATACCAAATAGAAGTATCGAGATAGGAAGAGAATATAATGTATACAAACAGTGGCGAATGGCACAGACAGGGCCGTAGGTTGATATAAATGAGCGTACGGGGTTTGCTGATTTCTCGGTTTCGTGCGTAAGGGAATGAATCCAAAGTTGAGGAAATGGTTGATTCGATAAGAAAGAAGAGAATTGATATGCATTTTAGAGACGTTAGAAATATGTTTGATATTATTGGGGATGACTATTAATAGATTATACAACTGGATCTTGTAATTAATAAAGACTAATATAAGTTTCAAAAAGAGCTGATGATTTGTCAAAATTTTAAGCTATGAGCTCATGTGTTACATATCTTTTTGCGGTAAAAAATCATATTTTCACTATCTTGCTGAACCTGACAAGTGACAATGTTTTCTTTATTTAATAAGTGCTCATGTCCTCCAAAATCTTCCAAATTTTTCAGGAAGATTTTGTTGGTATTCTTCATTTGCTCCAAACTGAATCTTAGTCGAACAGCTTTGAGCCTTCCTTTATGGCTCTGGCTCGGGTTTTGTTGTAAGTAACTATTTGTGTACAAGTTAACTAATCTCAAGCGAGGGCCAAAAGATTTGAGGTTCAAGTATACTTGGACTATTATCCCGATGAGTTCCAATATATTATGCCGACTTTCGATCCTCCAAAAAAAATCATTAGCATTGAAAGTATTAGACCCTTCATGGTTTTTTGTGTATTTGGCTTGTATTTTGAACAATATTTATTCCCTCCCTATCTTGGAGCTTTTGGCTAAAGAGTATTCATTCCAGCAAATTTATGTTTTTTAATCTTCAAGTGAACTAGGTCTGCCAGTTCGGATTCTTGGGTCGGTTATCTTTGAACTCACATACATACATTATCTTTCTTTTGCAAGTTCTATCTATATAGAATTTGATATGAACTTTTGTAATATGTTAAGCATCGGAGTGGATGTGTGAAGAAAAGATCTTTAATATTTTTTCGAAAGACTATGCAGCTCAGCTTCAACTGGTTGATACTATGCTTGGTTTGGAAGAAGCGGAGAAGTTCTTCAAAACCATCCCCGAAAACATGAGGGATTACTTTGTCTACAACAGTCTCTTGAAATCTTACACTAAATCTGTGAAATCACATGATAAGGCTGAGGCCACATTTGAGAAGACAAAAACAAAACAAAACAAAACAAAAATCATAAAGTTGAATAAATTAAAACTACAGGGGCTCCTGATACTTGAAAACAGATCAAGCCATGGACAGATTCCGTAGGGGGCAAGTAACATTGTCCTTGCGGGAATTTCATATGGTAACGATAAATAGGCTGACAACAAGAGTAAGAAGAGTTCTGATTATCTTGAGGGATAGAGGAAACGAAGAGCTTGCCGTATGCGATATAGCATACGAGAAGACTCGGCCGCAGTGTTGAGAAGAATCGAGTCTCGAAAGAGCTGATGAAATATGACCATAGCTTCGATACGCAACGGAATCTCAAAACAGATCTCGAAGGCAGCCTTAATAGTATTTCTGAGGTTAGATCTTTAGGAAAAGACGACGTTTTTCGGTTCCTCTTTCTCTTCTTCTCTTTTGGTTTCTCCATTTTTTTTTTCGGTTGTCAAAACCCTAAATTTGTTAGGCTGTGTAGCGTAGACTATTCAAAGTCCCAATATATATTCTGCTAATTGTTTCTGGTAGCACTTATCTAATATATTAAAAAAGTAGTATGGAGGCTTACGTTCGCTCTCAGAAACGGATTACATTTTTATCGTTAATGAAAAATATCTCTCGTTTCCAAAAGCAGACTTTTATGTTTAAGATCGAAAACTTTTAAATACAACTCCTTACTTGAAACCCTACCGTTTGTGTTTAGCCTCCATAACTCCATAGAGAGAAAAACGATTAGCTTAGCTTCTATCATGATTAAAATTTTATATATTTTAATACTAATGATATGATCGTGGCTAGCACGGAGCAAGAGGCTACAGAGAAACCGGAGATGGTGGGAAGGATCACTCATTCAAGAGCTAAGGAGATGGCCAAGGAAGCACACGCATTCATAGCTGACGGGTCATTCAACCTACCAAGGATCCAAGTCTTCAACATATCTAACCTGAAGACTTCACCCGGTGATGAGGACTAGGTAACTTAGGTGAGAAGTTTGTACTCTTTTTCCCATAGCTGAGTTTTGTCCCAATGGGTTTTCTCAGCATGGTTTTTAATGAGGCAAATGGATCACTACGTCGAGTTATCTAGAAATCATTACCAAAGGGGAATAATGTACTTCTGTACTACTACAGGTCGTCAAGCTTCTGTACTAGTTCAGCCGACTTCTGTACTACTACAGGGCGTCGGGAAATCTTGTTGTTTTTATTATTTCCTTAAAACATGTTGTTGTTTTGGTTTTGAACTTCTTGTTGTTTGGAGTGTCGTGCCCTAGGGTATTTAAAACCCAAAGCTACGCCTCTTTTCTCTTTAGCGAAGAAGTTGTATGAACAAGTATTGTCACACTTTTTCTCTCAATTCGAATTCTTGAATGCGTTCTAGATTTCCGGGTTTCTATACACTTTATGATTCAGAAACTCTTCATTGTTACAATCCATACAACCACCTAAACATCTATCTCCATCAAACCATTGTTTCATCATTCAATCTTCTCAAATCATCACTCACGTTCATCGCCCATCATCATCAACAAACTCACGTCGCCTATCACCTATCTTCAGCCTTCATCGGAGTTCTATCCTAGGGAGATCATATTAACTAATCTTTGTGTTTCATGTTATTCATCATCATATAATTTTTCTTTCGTGTTCTTGTAATGCTTATTTCGAAAGCAAGATAAACAATTCCTACAGCTTTGTCTAAGCTTACTTCACCTTTTGAATCAGTTATTCTCTAAGTTTATTTGTTTTATTTTCATTGGAATAAATTTCTAATTATTACGTTTGATAAGTATTGAAGATGATATTAAAAAGACGTTAAGTTGTACTTGGAAAATATGGAAATAATGGAAATATCATGTAAACTTAAAATAAATAATTATATAAGTATGTAGTTTAGAAAACATCAACAAATCCCATTGAATAACACAAATTAGTATGGACCACAAAGAGAGTTCGATGCGAGATCCAGTTAGTTTTCAACATATTTAAATTTAACACTTAGATTTTTTAAAATAAAAACATTTTGTGTGTTGTTGTTATAAATCAAAACGTTACTTAAAAATTATAATAACTTTACTTTAATTTTAAAAAAACTTGAAACCTAAGCATTAAATTTTTTACAATACGTGATAACATGTTGAACTTATACACCACTGACGGACCACAAAGGGACTGGATGCTCGGCCCAGTTTGTTTTCAATGTAATAAAATTTAACACTTAGATTTAACCCCACAAAATGATCATTATGATTTATTAAAAATCATAACTATTTTTACTTGAAGTTTGCTTTTACAAACCTTAATATTTAGTTGTAAATCAGGAAAATACAAATGAAAAACATGAATTTTTTTTTTATGTATATTTTTATATCAAAATCAATTGTTTTTAATTTTAAATTTTTTTAATAAAAGTTTGAAAAGTTGAAATATACCTGTAATATTTAAGTATCCTGAGGGATGAGGCGACTCAATCCGTGGTCGTTTCAGAATTTTGCTACACGTAAATAGAAAACAAACCAATCTGCGCATTTCATAATCGTCAAAAATTCAATTATTTTGATAAAACTAAAGACAACTATTACGAACCTGCTAATACCTCTGTTCCTCTCTTCAATATACATAAATCCATGGATCGATGGAGATCATCATAAAGACATTCATCGAACCTTGAGTCACCATTGAACCTTGACCCTCCACCCTGAAACTAAAGCTTAATCAAGTACAAATCTTCATCATCCAAGACTACAGAATACACAAAATCATACACTCAGTTCAAAACAAAGAGATGAATCACAAAGGCTAACATGTTTAATGAACTAAAAAGTACACAAAATGGCTTGCATTTACACACCTATGAGATTCAGTTGTGTATGTTGCAGACAGGTAATAATAAGTCTATATGTGGTCGAGAAGCAACATGAGCTCAGTAGTAATAAAATAAAACAATGCCAATGGAAACTCGCAAATCAAATCAGTATACCTCAGGTTATGAATGTAGTAATGCTGATGCTACATGATCATCAAATCTTCATGATAATAGAGAACAACATCAATGACCAGTAAAGACAATGTATATATACTAATAACCAAAATCAAAAACAAGAGAACAACAACAACAGAAAAGTAGAAACGAATAGCTCACCAAGAACAAGCATACCTCCTCCTATCAAAAGGCCTGAAAAACCATATAAGAAGGGATATATAAAGGAGACAGAGAGAACCACGAATACTCATTACAAAACCAAAGAGAGGAATACTAACCAAATACGTAAATCATAAGTCCAACATTGGCTTGCATCAATCGTATACTCTTATGAGATTCAGTTCTGTATGTAGCAGACATAAAAGTTCTCAACTTGTAAGAGACAAGACATAAAAAACCAGACCATATGCAGACAGAGGAACAAGAAGAGATAGAGCGGTACCTTGAAGAGTTGAAGGGAAAAGAGGAAGCAAGAGCACCACCATGAGGACGAACCAGAGGTTAGATAACACGAACCAGAAGAAGAGGAACCAAAAGCAGAGGTTAGATGCCAAAGACGAACCAAAAGCCTGTATGTAGCAAACATAAAAGTTCTCAACTTGTAAGAGACAAGACATAAAAAACCAGACCATATGCAGACAGAGGAACAAGAAGAGATAGAGCTGTACCTTGAAGAGTTGAATGGAAAAGAGGAAGCAAGAGCACCACCATGAGGACGAAGCAGAGGAAGTAGAACCAAAAGCCTCGATCATCACCACCATGTCTCAAGCCACAGCATTCTATGATCATCAACCAGAAGAAGAGGAACCAAAAGCAGAGGTTAGATCGCCACCACGTTTCAAGCCTCAGCACCCTATGATCGCCGTGTTGCATATCTCGATCATCAACGAGAGGAAAGCTATAAAGTTTAAAGCTTTTTCACCGAAGATGAATCAGAGAATCGAAGGAGAAGAGGGAACGAACTAAAGAGATTGATTTGTAGGGTTTAGAAAGAAGAAGAAGAAGAAAGAACGGAGAAGAAGAAGAGATAGAGCGTTACCGTAAAGGGAAAAGAGGAAGCAAGAGCACCACCATGAGGACGAAGCAGAGGTTAGATCCCAAAGACGAACCAGAAGAAGAGGAACCAAAAGCCTCGATCATCGCCACCATGTCTCAAGCCTCAGCATTCTATGATCGCCATGTTTGCATATCTCGATCATCAAACCAAATCTCACAACAACAAGAGAAAAGCTATAAAGGTAGAAGCTTTACACCAGCGTTGAATCAGAGAATCGAAGGCGAAGATGGATATGCTTTCTTGTTCGACAAGAGAGAACGAATCAACCTGTAGGGTTTCGTAGAAGAAGAAGAAGAAGAAGAAGAAAGACCGGAGAAGAAGAAGTGAGAAACAGAGAATTTTGATTTCTCTATCAAAAGGAAGAGCGGAGAAGAAGCGTTTGAGTTGAGAGAATTAAAGAGTAAATTTTTAATATTTATAAGCGAAATTAATTAAGAGGTTAATGGAGGTGTTCAATAGCTCTCAGAACGTAATGAGACTATGAGAACACTAAAGGGAAAATGCTTGACTCGTATTATGGTATTAGAGGTACTAGACAAGAAACATAGATGACACTTATGTCCTGTGAGTTTTGTGTATAGATAGATATTGGTTAGTGTTGTTACAGTTAAGTGGTAGACATTGAACCTTTGTGAAGTTTGCTGGTTGTGCAACAGTTTTTTTTATCTAAGAAGAATATGAGGACTTAGGTAGAAATATGGAAATGGGGTTATTGAATTCTTACTTGGAGGTTGGTGACTGTGATGCAAAGTGCAAAGCACTGAGAGTTCATTGGAAGAGTTTAAGAGAACCAGAGGAAAATGCTCGAGTTAATAGACTTAACAGAACCATGGGGCATGGACATTAGATAAATGATTGGTAATCACTGGTTTAGCTATATTGGTTAGTGTTTGTGTTTATGTGCTTGATTGATTCAAGAACTTACCAGAGTTGAAGAGTTGGGTGGTGAGAAAAGAGATACATGACGGAGAAGCCCTGGTTTATTTATATTGGTTAGTGTCTGTGTTCATGTGTGTTTGCCAGCTAAGTAAGTCTAACTTGTTAGAGTTGAATACTTGGGTTGGTAAGAGAAGTTCTCGTGTTCCTGTGTTTTGTCACTGAAATATTAGAGTTTCTATGACCTAATGAATCCAACCAATGGAAGACACAGATGGTGGATAACAGCAAATGCCACTAGTGGTATAAGAGCCAAGAACATTGTGCATTGTCTGCACCCAGCGCCCGATACAGGCAATTGAAAAGATCGCCAAGAGGATCCTTAAAGCTGTTTTGAGAATCATTTTATCAAAGAAAGTAGGATTTTGTTCGCATTCCTCACTATTAGTCTTTCTATTTTGTTGATAATTTGACAGTAACTATCGACTTAGTTTAGTATCCTCTCAGATAGTATATGTGTGATATGATACCAAAGTTATGCGAAACAAAGATTTTTATACAGAATTCAGTGTCTGCGATAAATAGTAACCTCACTAGTTCAAACGAAAATCGCGGATAAACAAATTTTGGATGAATGATAACAGCAGAATCATTCCTATATCATTCACAATCTTAACACCAACATTGTCTTCGACTCATCAAAGCATCGCTAAGCTCCAGACAGGCCAAGAAAGAAAAAGAGAAAAACAGATGGACTAGCACGCATTCATTACTCCAACTTCTCGAGTTCTGACATCCTTTCGATGATCGCCTGCAAGTAAAAAATTGTTCCCAGCATTTAAAGGTTTAGTGGTTGAGCAAAGGAATGTGTTAGTGCAAGAGGAAAGCTTGAAACCAAAATTTATACCCTTTTGCTTGTTTCTTGGAGCTCCCCAGCAAGAATGAATTCATCGAGTATCAGATACACCTTTTAATTGAAATCACAGAGAATTAGTAGCAAATATTAGAGTACAAACACAGATCATATCTAAACACACAGAAGCATCCACATAGTTAGACACAAATGGGAAATGCTTTTGAGAATGCTGCAGATATATATTTATCTAACAGGTCATGTTGGTCAGCTTAGAATTGGGACAAATACAAAGAGAAAAGAATGAAACTAGCTTTTAATTTTAGCAAACACAAGCTTTCATTTGATAGACCCTTAGAATCTTCATGGATAAAAATCTTCAGATTCCCCTTAAAAACATTTACACTAAACTTATTTAAAGCTCCTAAGTAGAGAAATGATGAAGCAAAAATCCCAGGTTTAATCGAAATCAGTGGTTATACAGCATCATAAGCTAAACTTTAAGGGTTACAGGATCCAAAGAAGCAGTTTTTGAGAACTAAATATAAAAAGAGTAAGAGCAACAAAAGAGGTTTGGTAACTTGTGGAAATTAAACACCAAATCTAGCTCACAGACATTGCTGAAGAAATGGTCCAAGATCTCCACAAACAAATGGATACTCTCCAGGTAAGCCAACTCATTGTCGGTTATATCCACGCACACAGAGAAAAACAATCCAGCATAACGCCTGTATATCACCTTGTGTGTTCTAAACTGAAAATAGTTGCAGAAAACAGTTTTATCATTCTAGCTCACAGAACAATATTGGTTTCTTAATCACATTTTCATGTCTCATAAGACACATATCTACTTCTCTATACATATATTGAATGAGTTGGGTTACTTCTACCTCAGCTTATAATATCTCAAACAACAACTAATACCTCAACCAGAGAAAATTCGCAGATTCGAATTCGACAGAGCAATGCTCCTATACTGTGCTAGTATCAACAGCCCTAAATCTCATATACAAAACCTGAATTAAGAATCATATGCATTCCTACAATCTGGAGAACCCTAATCTCAATTGAGACTTTTATGTTTAAGATTGAAAACTTTTAAACCAAAATCGGCTTTGTTGGTTTAAACCGATCTTTCTAGAATTTTAAGTTTTCGATTTTGAACCAAACATACGTAAAAAAGTCCGTCGAAAATACAACTCCTTACTTGAAATCCTACCGTTTTTGTTCAGCCTCCATAACTCCATAGAGAGAAAAACGATTATCTTAGCTTCTATCATGATTACAAATTTATATTTGAATACATTACTATGTGTTCAGTTCATCATCTTATAATTTTTCTATCATGTTCGTGTAGTGCTTATTTAGAAAGCAAGATAAACAATTCCTACAGCTTTGGCTAACCTTACTTCACCTTTTGAATCAGTTATATTCTCTAAGTTTATTTGTTTTATTTTCATTGGAATAACTTTCTAATTATTACGTTTGCTAATTATTGAACATGATCTTATAAAAGTCGCTACGTTGGGCTTGGAAAACATGGAAATATCCTGTAAACTTAAAATATCATGTGGCGCCAATAAATAATTATATAAGTATGTAGCTTGGAAATCATCAACAACTCTCATTGAATAACACAAATCAGTATGAAAGAGTTCGATGTTAGGTCCGGTTTGTTTTCAACATATTTAAACTTTCAAATTTTGTATGTTATAACTTTTCAAAATTTGTATGTTATAACTTTTCAAAATCAAAAATTTACTTAAAAGTTATAACTTTACTTAAAATATAAAAAACCTTAAACCTAAGCGTTAAATTTTTTACAATACGTGATAGCATGTTGAACTTACACACCACTGACGGACCATAAAGGGACTGGATGCTCGGCCCGATTTGTTTTCAACGTATTAAAATTTAACACTTAGATTCAACCAAAAAAAGATCATATTTACTTATTAAAAATTAAAACTATTTTTACTTGAAATTTGAATTAAAAAACCTTGATATTTTTAGTTGTAAAACAGGAAAATAGAAATGTAATTCATAAAATATTTTTTTCTTTATGTATCTTTTTATATCGAAATCAATTTTTCTTAATTTATTTAATTTTTTAAAAGTTAGAAAAGTTGAGATATTACCTGTGATATTTAAGAATCCTGAAGGCTACAGTGACTCAGACGGTGGTCGTTTCTGAATTTTGCTAATCGTAATACAAAAACAAACCCATCAGCGCATTTCATAATTGTCAAAAACTCAAATTACTTTGATAAAACTAAAGACAACTATCACGAACCTGCTTATAAATATTCTCCTCTTCAGTAATGGTCTCTAATGACTGAAGAAAACAGAGGATCAATGGAGCTCATCATAAAGACATTCATCGAGCCTTGAGTCACCGTCGAACCTTCTCCACCCTGAAACAAAAGCATAACATTCAGTTCAAAACAAAGAGATGAATGATAAATATGATACGTGAATCACAAGGCTATAACATGTTTGATGATGAACTAAAAAGTACACAAAATGGCTTGCATTTGCATCAATCCAAAATCGTATATGCATTTACACACACCTATGAGATTCAGTTCTTTAAGTTGCAGAGAGGTAGTAATTATTCTATATGTGGTCGAGAAGCAACATGAGCTCAGTAGTAATAAAATAAAACAATGTCAATGGAAACTCGCAAATCAAATCAGTATACCTCAGGTTATGAATGTAGTAATGCTGATACTACATGATCCTTCTTCTTTCTTGATAATTGTGAGGAAGTCCTCTTGATCCAAATCTTTATGAACTATAGAAAAACCTGCAAAGAAGAGAACAACAACAGAGAAGAACATCAATGACCAGCAAAGACAATATATATATACTAGAAACTAATAGGTCTGAAACAAACAAACCTCCTCCTATCAAAAGGTCTGAAACTTCCTTGTCTACAGATCAATGGATTTGTCAGAAAACCATAGCTAACACTGTAACGCTCACATACAAATACATATAACTCTAACAGTTAAGCAACAGAGGAATTCTAACACAGAAATACACAAAAAATCATATAAGAAGGAGACAGAGAGAACCACAAATACTCATTACAAAACCAAAGAGAGTAATACGTGAATCATCATAAGGCAAACATTGGCTTCCAGATTCAATGAAGACACAAATCGAATCAAAACAACTGTAATTCCAAAAGGCAAAAGAATGATGATTGCTACATAATAAACTCCTAAAAATTGGATAAAAGTTCTCAACTTCTAAGACACAAGACCATATCCAGCACAGAGGAACAAGAAGAGATAGAGCTGTACCTTGAAGGGTAAAGAGGAAGCAAGAGCACCACCATGAGGACGAAGCAGAGGTTAGATAGATCCCAAAAACGAACCAGAAGAAGAGAGATCAAAAGCCTCGATCATCACAACCATGTCTCAAGCCTCAGCATTCTATGATCGCCACTACGTCTCAAGCCTCAGCATTCTATGATAGTTCTCAACTTCTAAGACACAAGACATCTAAGACACAAGACACAAGACATCTAACTCCTAAAAATTGGATAAAAGTTCTCAACTTGTAAGAGACAAGACATCAACAACAAGACCATATGCAGACAGAGGAACAAGAAGAGATAGAACGGTACCTTGAAGGTAAAAGAGGAAGCAAGTGCACCACCATTAGGAGGAAGCAAAAGCAGAGGTTAGATAGATCCCAACACGAACCAGAAGAAGAGGAACCAAAAGCAGAGGTTAGATCCCAAAGAGGAACCAAAAGCAGAGGTTAGATCCCAAAGACGAACCAGAAGAAGAGGAACCAAAAGCAGAGGTTAGATCCCAAAGACGAACCAGAAGGAGACGAACCAAAAGTCTGGATCATCGCCACCATGTCTCAAGCCTCAGCATTCTATGATCGCCCTGTTTGCATATCTCGATCATCAAACCGAATCTCACAACAACAAATTAACCAGAGAAAAGCTATAAAGGTAGAAGCTTTACACCAACGATGAATCAGAGATTCGATGGCGAAGAGGGTTATGCTTTGTTGTTCGACAAGAGAGAACGAACTAAGGATATTGATTTGTTGAAGAGAAAGAAGAAGAAGTGAGAGAAACAGAGAATTTTGATTTCTCGATCAAAAGGAAGAACGGAGAAGAAGAAAGTTTGAGAAGCTTTGAGTTGTTTAACAAAAAAGAAGAAGCTTTGAGTTGACAGAAAGAGTTTTTTTAATTAAAAGAAAAGGAAACTGATGATATCACAATCACAACGGTTATATTAATACCGAGATTTTGTTTCTTTTAAAGTTTCTTCATTACAACGGTAACATTTTGAACTTGTTAATTTTAAAAGAGAATTTACTGAAAAACTAGGTTCGGACCCGCGGTACAACGCGGGGGAAATAATTACATATATATAACTTTTATCAGATTAAAATATGTTGCATTTTAATTTTGTTAGAGTGCAGTCGATTACGGTAAATCATATATTTGTATAATAAGTTTAAATAAAATAATAAAGGAAAAAGCGAGTAAATAATCATATACTGAGTTTTGATACAATTAAAAACACGGTGAAAATTTAACAGCACGAAATAATATTTGTCGATAAATTATTCATTTTGGCCATTTTTGTAGTAAAGGTAGGAATATATGTAAAAATTACATATTTACAATATATTTTTTGAAAGTCCAACCCGTAACAGAATTCATTTTGTAAAAAACATTATTCGTAACTCGTTTTATCATTATAATTGTGATTTTAACAATCTAGCCGTGAATTATCTAAAATTTACATATTTTGATATATAATATATTTTATCAATAAAAATTATGTATCCAAAATTACATTTATATCTTAAAAAAAAATATTTCTATATTTTAAACTAGGCAAGTTACCCGCGTTTCGCCGCGGTTAAGGGGAAGAATATATACATTTTAGAGACGAATTGATATTAACAACATTGTAGTATTTGTAATCAGTAATCTTGTTTTTAAATATCTAGATATTTCATTTGCTTTTTGTATTTGAAATTGCAACAATGTTGTGAACCTATTGCTCATAATGGATATGATTTGGTTACGTCTTATTCTGAATTTTACAATGTGCATACATGAACCAACTGTATTATAATTTTCAATATAACATGAATACTATATCATGATCAATATTAATATGTAATGACCAAACTGAAAATGATAATTAAAAAATTCGGCCAATTTTTCAAAGATCAACGATGTATTTGTAAATGTTTAAATATCAAGAATATCAAGAATAAACACATAGTCGTTCTTACATAGAATCTCCGATGATTCATTATATATAACAAAATCCAAACTGAAACAAAATATTGATCCTATTAAGGTTTCAAAACACAAAACATCTATACATTAATAAGCAGGCCATGTTATTCCTATGCTAGAACTGCATTGAAACCATCTTGTAATCATTCCTCGGAAGATACTCTGAAATGGTAGTTTGCAGCAAATTCAGAGCTACAATTCAAATATCCAAGTTAGTTAGAATCTATATAAAATAAAAAACAATGGGACAACCATATGCCTAAAAGAAAACGTATAAACTTACCTTATCTTGTGGTTTTCTAGACCAGTATTGGTTGGGTTAAGAAATGTCCTTGAAGCTCCACTATCACCTTCATCATCATTAGTAATACAGGGCTTACCTAAACAAAGTAAACAACAAAGGAAATTATAATATTTTCTAATCCGTCTATTGTAAAATCTCAAACATTCAAATAGAACTACAAACATTCAAATAGAACTAAACTCTCTTTACCGTGATATGTAGATACTCTCCAAAATCGAAGGACACAAAACACCGGGTGTGTTTTGTAAGTGATATTGTAACCCTTTGACCTCCACTCCCTTAAGAAGTTATGAGCACCTAGTCCTCTAATATGACAACTAATTCTTTCATTCCTGTTACAGTACATTGTATATAATTAGGCAAATTTATAAGCATGCTTTCCAATATAAAATATAACTAAGCATAAGTAACGTTTACTAAATTAACTTCCATTAATCATTTGGAAAACCAAGCCGTTGACTCTATAAGGATTCCCATACTCATCCATTTTACTATCCTCTTCTTTCAATTCACCAACATCAATTATAGATCCGTAGAAATCTAACATGGAGTAAATATAGACAAAATGCTTAGAATAGATAGATATTTCATATGGTTCAAAATATGATAATTTAAACTTGATTCAGAACACTTACCATAGGAATTATCCACAGGAACGATTTCTTTTAAAACATGCGAGAAATCTTCAAAGTGATAGTATTCTTTGGAAGACAGAGGAGCTATGCGCATCATACTTGTCTTCTCATCAACCTTGATCTGGTACGTATGGTTGGTGTTTCTTTCTGGCAACACAGGCTTTATAACTCTAAAATCTTTGATGGAATACCATACCCCTTCGTAAACATGTTTAGGGATATTCTTCTCAGAATGTTTTAACACATAAGTAGCTTCAATCCTGTCACCCTATATTAAGATTTAAGAGCAAACTAATCGACTTAAACTAAAGCATTAGAACTCAAAATTGACCGATTACTACACAATTGAACATAAGGGAAGTTTAACATATGTTTATTGAAAATTTAGAAACATAAATTACCTTTTCATCGGCAAGGATTAAAACCCTTTTCATGAAGAAATCCCTTCGATAGGCAATAGACAATATTTTCGCTTCTATGTTCCAATTAGTTCTTGAAGGATTCAAATCGGCAACGGAATCTGTTCGCATGATTTCTAAATTATAAATTTCTGTTTTCGTTGGAAGAATTGTGAAGAAGATGATAGGCGGTGTGTTTGATCTTTCGGATTCCAAATGAAAATAGATTTAGTTTAGGTAAAAAAATAAAAGTCCATTAGACGCTTATAAATTGTAAATAGTGGTAAGTTGCGTCGTTTGGATTTTCACATTAACATTTTTAAAAAAAAACACTAATATTTCGTTTGGACATGTAAGATATTTTTAAAAGAATCAAATGTTATAGAATCGAATGTTTTAACTGTTATTTACTATAAGTATGTTATTCTTTTTATATTTTAAGTGGTACATATAATTAGAGTCTATAAAACCCTTAAACCCCAAACTGAACAAAACACATTATTTAGTGATAAATGTAAAATTCCTAACAAATAGTAGGGTTTGAAACAAAATTTGGTTTATGATTTATACTCACGAGATTTAAACCCGATGGGTTGGTTATCTTCTGATGACATGGTTTATGATTATACTCACGATATTAGAACTTATTCTGAATGAAATTAATATTCTATTTGAATATTTATGCTAATAATGTAAATTAAATAAGCTATTTTGAGATATCCACATCTGTAAATAGGAACAAATTGGCTTGGTTGGCTTGATAATAAGAATTAAAATTTACAATAGACCAATATTAAAGTCTGAAAGCATAAAACATTTTAAGTGGATACATAATAAATTGATTCCGTGCATGGTAAGGTAAACACTTGGAAGTGATACTTCAAGATCAAGCTTTATTTTCAGCAAAATTTCACTAAATAATTTATTTGGTTCATGATTTCTAGGAACTTCGAAGATAACCACCATTCATTTGGTCCCATAAATAACGTACGCACAAGTAGTACCAGTTTTGGATATAACTTTATACTCAAAGCACCTATAAGTATGATAATTCCTATTTTTTGCTCACAATCTTCTTTTGTATATAAAATTGTTCCCTTCTATTCTAATTTTTTGAATCCGCCTATATGAACCAATTGTATTATGATTTTCACAATGATCAAATATAAATGAATTTTATATTTATGATTGAAAGTAATACATATAAATTGTGCTTGAGTAGATGACATAATTTATATAATTCTTAAAACTTTTAAGTTATATTAGTATATATAAAGTAATACGTAGAACAACCGTTTAGGTAAAAACTGAAACTGGGACAATGTGTTTCACATGAAACTATGAAATAAAATTACAACTAATCAAAAAATGATCCAACAGACCAGTTGATTTCTATGTTACTGTTGCATGGCTTGGATCTTCTTCTCCGTACTTAGTAGTCTTGTTGAAATGATAAGATGCAGCAAATTCAGAGCTACAAAATTTAATATTTTACATTGTTAAGATTATATATAAGAGAAGCAACATATTGACAAATATTGGCAATGGACAGCATATTAGAATTTACCTTGTTCTGTGGTGTTGAAGTCCAGGATTGTCTGGATTTAAAACTGTCCTTGAAAATCCGCAATAATCTTCCGCATCATTGGTAATACACGGCTTTCCTAAGATGTAACATGTAGAATGAATCGGGTTCTAGTTCTTTATCTGTTCTATAGATTCAGGTCCATATCATATGTATAGAACTAAATATGGTTGTTACCTTGAAATGATGACAATCTCCAAAACCTGAGAACACAAAAGACTGGGTTAACTTTGAATGTGGTATTGTAACCCTTTGATGTCCATTCGGTTAAGAACTTGTCAGCACTGTATCCTCTTAAATGACATAAGAGATGTTCATCCCTATAACAGGAAACACTCTATAACTATTCCAAAATAAAAGCAAACAAATCAATGAGGATTGAACATAATTTTAGCAATGTTTAGCAATTTACCTTCCATTTATAAGCTTGAAAACCAGAGAATTGACACCATAAGTATTACCATAATCATCCTCCTTTATAAACTCTTCTTTTATGGGACCAACATCAATAACCGAACCATAGAAATCTAGCATGACTCGAAATAAGACAAACTTTGTTAAAATTGATTAATTTAAACTTACTTAAATCATTACAACATGTACTAAAAGTAGAACAAACTTACCATAAGAATTATTGAGTGGGATGACTCCATTGAAAACATGATTAAAATCTTCAAATCGGTAGTAATCTCTGGTGGACAGAGTACCTAGGATCATCATGTCCGTCTTCTCAAAAAATTTTATCTGGTACTGATGGTTGGTATTCCGTTCTGGCAACACTGGCTTGATGACCTTGAAATCTCGAATGTTATACCATTCCCCATCATAAATATGTTTAGGTACAGGGTGTTTGAAATTTTGATAGCATATAGAAGCCTCAATCCGATCACCCTACAATCAAATTTCAGTGGTTCATCAATTGCTACATGTAAATCAATCAATTTAACGTAATAAGCAGTTCAGGTGATCAATATGTTATAGAGTTCTTAAGACTTGCGTTTAGCTCAATTACATTTATATGAAGACTTGCTATATGTAAATCATTTTAGAAATCGATTCAATGACTATATGTAAGTCACAAACAATTTCTATATGTAAGTTTTATAGAAAATTACCCTTTGATCAGCAAGGATTAGGACCCTTTTCATCATAAACCCTCTCTTGTAAGAAAGACTCAATATCTTCACGTCTATGTTCCAATCAGTCCTCGATGGATTCAAATTGGCTATGCAATCTCTCGGCATCTCGAAACGCCTTGTAGAATATCGTGATTCCGTTTGAAGAAAAGTGTTGAAGTAGAGTATCGGTGTTTAAGGGTTTAATCGGTTTCAATTGTGCCAAATAGATTCAGAGTTGGAAGAAGATGAAAAGTCTATTGGTGAAACAATATTTATAATCAAAAATCGAAATGGTGCGTCGTTTAAGTTATGCA